TATGGGAAATTATGGAACACAAAAAATTGACAGAAAAACAAGGACAAATAAGATTATATACATAAAGTTACAAATCATTTAAATCAAAATACTGTAATAATTAAAGTTTCATCACAATTTAATCGCAATTCCAATTCACTTATATTTACAAATTATAAAGTACGATATAATATCCATACACCCCAAAATATTACATCTATTAACAAAAAAAGCACATAATAAAACCCATTTTACAGCAATTAAACCTATGAAGAAACGGGTGAGGCTCGCCAGAGTTTTACTACGTGAACTCTCTTTTTTTTTTAAATGTGGTAAACTAAATATACACGAGAATTTAACCATTCGAAGGTAATAATCAGTTGCATTACACATCCATGGGCTGCACCATCACTCACACCTAATTTAAACATATTTCATTCAAAAACCTCTGTCCCCCCATATTTTCGGTTCCTGGCTCCCCCTCCTCCCAACACTGCACACCGATCTGCCCTGTCCTGGTGATCTGCTATCTGGACATTTCATGCTAAAACACACACAGTTCCTTGTGCTTTCCACCATCACATTGTCCTTCCCGTCCATTTGGTTACAGTTCAGCTTCATCTTCTGCTAGACTATTCCACTGACGGATACCGCACTTTTACCATCCATTGGCTGAGGCATCTGTGACTGTTCCACCCTTGGCTATGTGCTACCATCTCGGAACACATGTTCAGTTTGAGAATCCCCAAAGAATACATCCTGGGGATCATAATGTTCATTGTATGATTTAGCATTGCAGGGAACAGAAGCGACTGTTCCATTCCCTGTTGTACAGCAGGACTTGCAGATAAGTCGGCACAAACCTACCCCCGACCAGGCTGCCCGGCATCAACACACAGTGTAGCACCAATCCCCCTCACATCGCAGCCACCTCCCCAACTCCACCGGCCTGCATCATTCCACAGTCTAGACTCACCTCACTCGCAAACCGAGGGGAACCTAGGGATTGAACGACACTGGTCAGGCTGGGACACCCCTATCAACACCGATGATGAGCCTCAGAACCCAAGGAGAACTACCTCTGCTACCTGGTCCTCTCTATGTGAACCACCTGACACCGCCACCAGCAGCAAGTCATTCCCATGATCCAGCTCCACATACCCCTGAAATGACTGACGGGTACGTGGGGCGGAAGATGAGTAGCAATATCAACATGACCTCCCCGGGGGGCTCAGGACCCTGCGACACTCCTGTTACACGAGGCTCCTCCTCCTCCACAAATAGGGGGATAACAGTGCCAAATCGATGATCCAGCCCTCCTCCGAACACCAGAGCCTCAGGGACCCGCTTTGATTCCCTGGCACCAGATGACCAGACGACTCCCTGCCCGGGACGCAGCGGAACCGCACGGGCGCCCCTGAGGGAACAGCCTGGTCCCGCTGGGGCAACAACCTCTCTCCTCCCGCACCTACACGGACTTGGGAGATTACTCAGTTTAAGCACCAATAAGCCATCTACATCTAAAAACGTTCCCCAATTTAAACCTGCTGCAAGCTAAAATCAACTCCACAGTGTCATGACCCCCGTACCCGAGTATTAAGGCGATCTCACACACACCTAGGCAGGCTTTTTGTTTAACTGGGGAGCAAGGCCATGACAGGATCGATCCACCATTTTATTGCAACTCAACTACGCACATCAGAATTCAAACGAGATAACGGTCACCACCGCTTACCGACACTGTCCATCGCACGACCACAACCCAGCCCTTAAAACAACTCCCCAGCCCGGCCGGGAACCTCGTCCGCTTCTTCCATGAATTTGCCTTCCCAGGTCGCTCAAAAGGCATCACAAATATTGTCCCTCCGTGTCCCTCCTCTGAAATGTCTCTCAGATCTTCTCAAGAACATACGCACATTAACCACGAAACTACGTCCACGATCCCACAGCCCAAGCCCTAACAGGAACCTGGGGACCGATCCTGGGTTCCTCCACCCTGCCCTGGACGCGCCCGGGGGTCCTGGTCCGAGATACACATCCCCAGGCGCCCGTCTCCCCCAAAAACCTCCAGCCCTGCCCTGCCCCAGCCCACATGCCTGCCCTTTTTGCTAATTACTGATGGGGTTCCAGAAAGATTCCGGAGCCCCTCCACGATGCAGGCCCCCCTGACGATTCCCTGAGATTTAGCTCAGGACCCCGACCCTGAGCAATTAGACATTTGTCCAGGCACGTGACCTGCCCCCTCTGCCCGGGAACTCCATGAGGTACCTCTGCTGCAGACCAATGGGGCTGTTCCCGTTTCCTGGGTCCTGGGCTCGTCCAAGAATGAGGGACCCAGCCGGTCTGTCCGCTTTGCCCCTTGTTCTGTTTCCTCTTCTCTTGGCTCAGCGATTCTGTTCACATCCGTGAAAGACCGTTATAACAATTCCTCTTCACTTACACTCTCTAGACTACTTAATGACCCGCCACTCCAAACACCATCCACCTTTTTCTATAACGGGTTACAGGCAACATAGTGTGGCGGGGGGACATAATTGAGCTCCTAACACTTCCATTTACACGAGGAATATATCAGACAGGAATCATTTGCCCAGATTCTGAACAGCAGGAAGGGGGGGAAAATGTACAATGCCAAACACACACCGGTTGCACCTTATGATCCAGGCTGGTTTTGTCTTCCGTTCTGCCCAATTTTCATCGTCAGGCAAAACTGAAATAAATCACACCGATCCCTGGGTTACTCCCACCCTCGCCCGGTGGGGGACGGGAACCTAGCCCCTCCCAGGGTGCCAATCCGAGCCCCACGGCAGGGGGGGTTCCACATGTTTACATTTAGCATGGTCCTTTCACCGAAGGTGTCAGGCCTGCCCAGACACAGCCCTTGGAAACTGGTGTGACCCATACTAATCCTTATCATGAATCAAACCTTTTAATTCCCACCGGAACAGTCACCTCGGGACGCCATGTCCAGTTTCCACCTGTGTAGCTCTTAGCACCATCCTTCTGTTGTCCTCAGCATGGCCCTGCTAGACAAGGGAGATCAGGCCCTAGATGAAAAGACTACGAAGCATGAGGTCCCCTAAAAATTCCATGTGCATGCCCCATCAAGAAGCAGAGCAGACATCAGCCCCAATGAGTCCGGTTTTAAGCATCGCTCCTGAATCTTCCTAAACCCTGCGTCCTATAGGCTGCCTTGCTCTGGGCAAAAGGTCCCCTTCGTCGTAACATTCTTCCGGGACGATCCTCCTACTTTTAAACAAACAGTGTCAATTCTGAAACTGAAACTGCTTTCTTCTGATGGTCACATCAGGACAATTTGCTTACATAACATTTTGGACCGCAAAGACTTACAAACACATGTTTTTTTTTTTGGAGACAGAGCTTGCCTGCAATCAGCTATGCAGGCGACATACCACTGCAGCCTCCCAAACCCTCCGCAAGATCCTCCTGCCCAGCCTCCCGAGTACTGACTACAGCATCACCACCATGCTGACAATTTTCTACTCGAAAATTCATCTCGCTCAGCTTCTTGAAACTCTCCTCAGGATCCCCTTACCTTCACATTCAATCTAGGATTACAGCGACCACTGGCGGCCTGCTCCGTTGTTACTAATGTTTAAGAATTCCTTATATAATAAAAAATATATAATAGTTGTCTTCCACATCCTAGCACAGGTTCCTAAAACCCTTGCATGACATTCCCCAGGTTGAAACAAGTCTTGAGACACACTTTGGAATCTGGATGAACGAATGGAACATCCGGGGCCTTCATATTTGAAACACCCCAACAACTGCTATATTTACCCATTTTAGAAATTGAAAACCTGAAGCAGAGATTACACATTGTACAACCCTGAATCATCAATGGGCAATAATCAGATTAATTCAAGAAAGATGACTAAAAGCCAGTCCCTTGGCTCACCCCGCTTGAACTCACAGCTTCTCAAAGCCACGGAGTGAATAAAATCAAGTCACAGAACGTTTCCAGATTCCTTGCGCACGCTTAGTAGCCCTGGTTGAAGGACACAGAAATTGTTGGTGTCGGCGCGGTTTCCCCACCACACATTCCTATGCTAAACCCGGCCCCAAAGGTAGGATTAGAGTGACCATTTTCTTGGGGTGTTAGTCACGAGCGGCACTCTGAAATGAAGTGGTCCCTAAAAAGCCCCCAGAGACTCCCTCATTCTCCACCACGTAGGACACGAAAAAGCGCCAGTCAGAAGCAGGCCACCAAGCACCAAATCTGCCAGCACCTGAACTTGGGACCTGGCCTCCAAACTGTGAGAAACCCAACTTCCTTGTAAATATTAGCCACCCAGTCTGTGCATTTCATTCAGCCACCTGAAACAGATTAAGACAGGTTGGGGTGGAGGGGCTTGGTGAAATGAGTGTGTTCCTCTCCCCGATCCACCATGGCAAAACAACTACCTGCTTCAAGCCCTCGCAGAGGGCCCACAGCGGGACCCTGAACGGTTGTGGCATTAAGGTGAAAGCCAACCCAAACCTATCCCAAACACTTGAGGCGAAACGTGCATTCTCTACCGAATGTCTGATGGGGGAGGGCATATGGTGTGACCCTGTTTGTCTCCCCCACCTGGAGATGTCAGTCAGAGGCGTAGACATCTGCCCTCGTGCACGAGTAACTGGAAAGTGCGATGAGGACCAGTGAGACCCCCGAGCCCACACAGAGCAGGGAAGAAGCTGGAGAGCTGCCTGGAAGAATTCTCTGGGCCCCAGCCCCAGCCTGTGAGCACCTCCCAGCAACAACTACTGGAACTTGGGACCGAGAACTGTCCACTTGTCAGCCAATCCCTGTCTTGCTATCAGAGTCATCAAAACCACCCTCGTGGCGGAAGGACGAGAAATCATCTTGACAGCGGCACGCTGTCATGTCTTGGAGGTCCCAAGGCCCAGGATCAGCCGCTCACAGGAACCTGAGACAACACGGGCCTTCCAACCCTCCCCTGCATAGAGTGCGAAGGCTCCAGTTGCAAACGGGTTTATTTTAAGTATCAAACAAGGTAGTGTATCAAGTGCTCGAGTGTCCTGAATGTCACCGACGCGTCACTGCAGACCCCGCTGGCACAGAGGCACAGCAGGCTTTCTTCTCGTCTGCCTGGAGGAAGGTCTCCGCTCGGGCTGGTGAGCGCGGCGTGAGCGTGGACTCACGGGGCGCGCGGCGCGCTGTCCTCTGGCAGGGCTGCGCTCTTAGTTGCTCCCTGGGACTCCTCGCAGGTGCTGTCCTCGCTGAAGTACCACTGGCTGGGGGTCGCCAGGCCCTGGGCCTCTTCCCAGACGCCCTGGTTTATCAAGGCGGCCTCTTTGCTCGCCTCGGCGGAGAGTTCCAGCACCTGGGCGAAGCTCCTGTGGGGCGAGAGGAGGAGTGGAGGCCTCACTCTCCGCGGCTGAGCGCCGGACGCAAGCAGAGCCCCTGGGTGGCGAAGGAGGGGCTGCGGCGTGGGGGTGGGGGGTTCCACGTCGCCTGTGTGCTCGGTGGGGGAACTCGGGGAGCAGGGTTGGGTGGAGAAGACTCAATCAGGGAAACTCCTAAGACGGTACCAGGCCGGCATGAAAGACGACTCACTGGGTCAAGAAATACTCAGAACGCATCAGCACTATGGTTGGTACTACGGTTTGAACGTCTGTCCCCTCCAAACTCATGCTGACACGCAATCCCCAGCGTGGGGTGCTGAGAGGTGGGGCCTTTAAGAGGTGACTGGGTCACGAGGGCCCTGCCACTCGTGAATCAGTGGATTAACGGGGTATCACGGGAGGGGGGCTGGTGGCTTTATGAGAGAACTGAGCCAGCACACTCAGCCCCTCGCCACGGGATGTCCTATGTCACCACCGCCTTGCAGAGTCCCCACCAGCAAGAAGGCCATCACCAGATGTGACCCTTCGACCTTCTCAGTCCCCAGAACCGTAAGAAATAAATTCCCTGTCTTTATCAATGACCCCGTCAGTGATTGTTAGAAGCAACAGGAAACCAAGACCGCCGGGCACGTCTGTCTCAGGAGCAGGAGGGACAGCTGCGAACAGGATAAAGTCCGCCCCTCCGTGCCACTCACATGGCGGTGGAGAAGCGTGTGACGCCTGCGTGTTTAACCGCTCAAAGCTGTGACCCCTGCCATCTGCAAACCTTCCGTGTGCCCTGACTTTGTCCTGCAGCCACCCACAGAAGACAGGCCAGAGCCGGTGGCGGCTGTGTCTCATGAGTCCTTTCCAGATATTTCAGGCATCTCGGGAGACAGATCGAGCCTTGTAAGGAGGAGAAAACAAGATTCTTTTCCGGAAGAGGTGCAAAAGCCCATAGTTAGAAATTGCCTGGGGGCGGTGAAAAGAAGGGGTCGTGAGGGATTTCGGGGGGCTGGTCACGGGCTGTGTCAGATCTAGGGGCTGGTCCCACAAGGGCACAGGCTCTGTGACAGCCATTCAGCGGTCCCTTAGGATCTGTGTCTGCCGTGTGTATTTATACTTCAATAAAGAGCTCAAAAACACGCTCCCAAACCCTGACCCTGGAAGACATTTAGAACCCAAACAGCACTGACCCGAGGGCGCCTGTGCTGTGCCAGCTACTCTGGGGACAGGGTGGGTGAGGGGCGGGGCCCTTTCTCTTCTGGCCGCTTGAGAACTTCCTGGACTTTCCAGAGCCGGGTGTGAGTTCTCCGCCATCCCCTCCTCCCTGTCTCGCTCGACCTTCACACTGGGAATCTGGGGCCCGACCTGCAACCCCTCTGGTCCCCAAGGCACCAGCGCCCCCACTCCCTCAGAACCAACTCCAAAGCAAGGGAGAAGGGGACCTAAGATGCCCCAGGTGTAAGACCCAAGGTGCCTCCCTGGACCTGAGACCTTGTCACAACGCGACAAGCGGACCCCCCTGCTGCCCCCTCTCGTAAACCACGCAAGGGGTCTGTGGGAGAGCCGGCTCGCCCTGGAGCTGGCAACCCCAAGGACTAGGAGCCTCTAACAGCGCAGCCCGCCAAACAGTCCCAATCCTGGCTGGACCGGGTTGCCACCCTTATTTCTTAACATTTTTCTTGAGACACCTTCGGCAGCGCAAGGTCCTTTTTCCACGCCACGTCTTTTGAGTATTCCCCAGTGAAGAGTCCCAGCACCCGAATGCACGTTTTTCCTTCTGAATGCCATGCTAGATCTTCCCCAGAGCTTCTCAGATGTCCTCCAATGCTCAGAACTGCAGGGGCGCTAGGCGGGGGGAAAGCGGTCGTGGAAGCGATGGACTGCACGGCCCCAAAGCAAACAGACGCACAGATGAGAGCGCCGCTTTAGATTTTTCTCTTCTTCTACGGCAGTGCTCCTGCTCAAAGCTCACAGGCAAGAAGGTAAGCAGAGGAAAGACACTCTCACTGGTAACATTCTCTTCCCTGGCCAGAGAATCAACGTGGGCCCTGAGACAGTGGGAAGTTGCAATGTCCACCAGGTGCCATTCAAAGCAGACCTAGAATGCCACTCCTGGTGGTCCTCGACAGAAAACCAGTGCAAGAACACAGGAAAGGCCACAACTGGCCTAGCGTCACCCGGGGTCCTTTCCCAGCCAGCCAGGAGCAACCTTGTTAAAAATCCCCTCCACTTTGTACTACTGGACCCTGAGCACCTGCATCAACCTTGAGCCAGGAGGACACGCGCAGCCCAAAGTACGTACGCCACGTGCATTCCGACCTAACTGTGCACCTCTCCCCCTCGCAAACACACGTATATCTTAGGCCAGCTGTAACTCAGGACTACGTTCTGTGGACCCCAGGGGCCTCGAGAAACAGGCATCTCCGTCCCTGCCGTGGACCTGAACTGTGTCCCCAGGTGTCCGTCTTGCTCCGCAAGCTTCCCTGCGAGCCTGAAGTCAGATGGAACACGGGTTCCTCTGAGGAGCGGGGCTGAGCCAAGCTGAAGGTCCACTAGTGGGCTCTAATCCAGTAAACTGTGTCCTTACAAGGCGAGGGGAAGTTTGGATAAGGAAGACACGGAAGGGAGAACGCCCATGGTGACGACCTGGAAGACTGGAGTGACATAGCCACATACCCAGACCGCCCCGCAAACACCAGAGTCCAGGAGTTAGGCCGGGGCTCGCTCCTCCCCATATAGCCTGAGGCACCTAGTCCCCTGCAACGCCGATTCCCAGACTCTGGCCCCTCCGGATTGGGAGGGAACACGTGTTCTTCTCCTTTTTGGCGTTTGCCCGGTCCTGGCCACGTTCCGCAGCCGCAGCCAAAATGATTGAGTCGCTAGTCCCGCCTCCTGCAATTGCCCACGGCGCTTTAGCAGGGACGACCCGAAAAGTACGGCGCGGGAAGGGCCATGCAGTCGCCCACAAGAACCAGAAACTCGACCGCTGACAACATCCAACCGGGGGCAAGTTGCAAACACCCCGTGCGATGAGTCATGTGGCCATGAGCCCTTCTCCACAACGACGTGCAAACAGAGAACGTCAACGCAGTAAAAAGTGGGGAAACCTCGACACGTGTTGGCTCGGATGTTTGAGTCTGTTTTACCACCACCCACATCCGTGCTGCGCTAACAGTGGAAAGAGAAACACGCCAACGGACAAAACCGCGACATTGCCTCACAAAATTTGTCACTTTTTTTCTTTACACG